TTACAATCTGCCACTGTTGTTTTCCGTGTAAGTCCAAGCCATTTTTGTTCACCAGCTCACCAGTGCGTTCTTTTTCCCCAGAATGTACCAAACTGTTGATTTGGCCACTTCTAATGTTCCTGCTATCTTTCTAATGGATTTCTGTTTTGGTTTTTTTCGCAGCCTAAGGATGGCCTGTTTCACTTGTATTGAGAGCTCCTCTGAACGCATATTGTGGGTTCACAGCAACAGCTTCCAAATGTGAATGCCACACCTGGAATCAACTCCAGACCTTTTACCTGCCTAATTGATTATGAAATAACAAAGGAATAGCCCACACCTGTCCTTGAAACAGCTTTTGAGTCAATTGTCCAATTACTTTTGGTCTCTTGAAAAAGAGGGGGCTACATATTAAAGAGCTGTAATTCCTAAACCCTTCCTCCAATATGGATTTGTATACCCTCGACTAGCAGCTGAGACTGCACTTTAAGCCCAGATTTTTTATTTAACTCTAACTTGAATTTATTTGGTAAACAGCCAAAATAACAAAACTTGTGTCAGTGTCCAATTATTTCCAGACCTAACTGTAATTGCCAAATTAAACAGTGCATTCAGGTCAGCCTGTAAGTTAGAGACATCGTGTAGGAACTTTATTCCTTTATATAACTTGTCATCTGCAAACACAGAAACTAAAGTTTTATTCCTAAATGATGCATCATTTCAAAATAGGTGAACCTTGGGGTATACCTGGGGCCGGATTAACATATGGCTAATGGAGCACCAACTCCAGTCCCACCACTTAACATACACATTAGTTGCCTGAGTTTAAGTGTGTCAAATGCTATAGCAAAGTGCAAGTATACTATATCCACAGCCACTTTGTCTAAATTTTGTCTTACTTCCTCATAAAAAAGAAGTAGATATGTTTGACAGCATTGGTCTTTTATAAATTCCATGCTGGCAATTTCTTATATAATAATTATTTATTTTTTTTAGCAAAAACTCTGTGGTCCTTGATCAAACTCTCGAGTATCTTTCCCACTATATCAGTTAAACCTACTGGTCTGTACTTACTTGGTAAAGACTATGATCTTTTTCTAACTATAGGCACCACTTTGGTCTTGGGCCGATCTATTGGTACCAAGCCAGTCATTAAAGAGTCTCTAAAAACTAGAAACAATGGCTTTTAAATAACAGAGATCAACTCACATGGTGTAAACCATCTAGTACAGGTGCTTTATTAACCTTTATTTTGACTGTTTGTAGACCATATCAATTTTGAGCCATTGTAATTCATTTGAGACTGTCTTAATACTACTCCAGTTTTGGACATAAACGTCACAATTTTCCTTGGGTATAAACAGCCGAAGAATGTATTTAACAGATTAGTGACTGACTCTGAGCTATCTTGTAAGAGGCCTACATGTTCAGACCTGATCTCTTTACTATTAATACACTCATCCTCCATTACATCATGCTGGCAGGCCAGTTCATATAGAAGCAGATACAGATATAGAACATCATACTGTATGGGAGATAAACATTTATTCTGCTATGAATTGGTGAGGTGACCACAGAAAAAGGGAAAGATGCAGTTTATTCATGTGTTAGGTTCTTTGAGACACCAAAGAAAAAGTATTCTTTAAACAGCATGTAGGTTTAAAAAAAAAAATGTGCCAGAGATATAAGGCACTTTTAGATACAGTTATTATTATGACTGTCAACTTGACCGCACAACAATCTAGATCCTGGAGCAACAGGACAGATTTACTTGAACAACACAGCTTGATTTATACATTTCTTCCTCTAATGCTTTGAAATAACACTGCATAAATGTAACACATGATCCAGATTACTTCTAAAATTGTACGTGCATGCTAAGTTAGTAACTGACACAGGTACAATGATAAATATGACACAGATGTTTGCAAAACATGGGATTCCGCCAATAATGTAAATGAGTGAGATCATGTAATCACAACAAAATTGCTTGTTCCGGCAGGTTGATTAGGGGCTTTATGTTTAGGGGATTGTGAGTGTTGTGAACTATAGTCCCCATAAGTTCAGCTAGTAAACTCCTGCCTGATTGCCTTACCCCTCCAACTGTTTTGTAATTGGTTGATTGTCAATTTGTAACACTATTGAAAGGTTAGTGGGATGTCTGTTTTTTGGTACTCTGTGCTTGAACCACTGCTATATCACCATGGAGTGGTTTGTTTCACAAATGTTGCAAAGAGTAATGGGCTAGTGACCCTAGAGGGGGCCGGCTGCATTGTTGCAAGCTGACACCACATCACAGCCCTCAGGAATGCCCAACCAAGAGGTCACAGGAGCAGGGTTGCTACATTGAAGAGACAGGATAAATTAGGACAGTAAGTCGGTGCTCAGGCAAAGGGCAGAGCAGTTGGAAGGCAGAGAGTAGTCAAGGTCCCGGCAGAGTCAGCAACAGGGGTTGGAGACAAAAATTCAGGCAACCTGGGTACATAGTTAGTCAGGTTGAAAAAAGACACAAGTCCATCGACTTGTAAGCAATTGGTAAATGAAACAGCAGCAATCTAATGCAGAAGGTAGCTGGCAAGAAGACACAGCACTAACCACATCAAGGGATAACGATTAAAAGTCCTACACAGCCTGCTACGATGCCCGGCATCAGGAATGCACTCTGATGCGTGACAATGCATGCCTGCTTACACATACAGCTAACCATAGTCAAAAGACCAATGCGAGCATGGCCTCCCACTGATGGACAGGATGGACGTGTCCCAGCCTGTGCAGACACTGATCCCTGAGGTACTGTAACATAATGTCTTCAATGTTGAGATGAGAGCTCTGTGGGGACCATGCCCAACTGTTGCAAAATTCCTAATTTTTCTTTTTCACTGCTGACACTTCTTTATAATTTTGGCCATTTGCTTGGGGTTATTGTCATGCTGCTGAAGAAGGTTGAAAAGGATCAGATGCCTTTTTGATGGTATTGCACAATGATAAGTGAAAATAATCTGCGCTCCTGGATCTAACTAAAATAGATAAAACTAGATAAACCTAAAGCAGCTAAGAAATGAAAGGAGAAATCTCCTTAGAATGAACGGAAAAAATGTAACCAAGCGCTAAAGGTTAAATCAATGATAAGTACCTAGGTGTATTTCTCAGCAGTGAAAATGCCATTAATTTTGACCAAATCAACAACTTTATTTGCAGAAATGCAGCTGCTAACCTGCAGCTTCAAAGTATTTCACTGATGCCTCTAGCCCTTCAGTAGACAAACTGTTTTCTGTTAGAAATTGCTGGTTGTTAAAGAAGTATTATCACATTTGAAAAATCATAGTTAAATCCCCGAAGGGACCAAGTGCACAGTATCGGTTTGATGCTTTGTGCATTGTGATGTCCTGCATCTGACATGTCTCGAACTAAAAATCCTGAAACATTTACAGCTTCTTATAGCCCACATCTTCCCCATTGTACTGTTCAGTCCAACAACAGAACCTCTAAACCATGTATACAAGTTTTAGGTACTGCTTTGCAGTCACATGATTTGCTGTTGTATTTGCACTAATGATGTATTATTATGTATTACCTTCCACTTCAATAAAACACACATTGGTAGTAACAAGATCGTTTGTAAATACGTTTGAACTGTAGAGTATTCATATTCACATTTCACCTTTGTACTTTTTAAATTGGCACAAAGTAAACAATGCACATGTACTGACAATGTTTAGAAATTCTGTCACAACCATAAAAAAATATGATCACATTTAATGATTACAGGGAGTGGTTGTCTGTTTCCAGTTTACAAAGACAATGAAGAGTGACTTATACATGCACAGACAATGAGATGTAGTTCATATACTCTGGCACTATACAGAAACTGGATACTTGAATTACTTGGAAAAAAAAATCTAGAAACAATGCAGTTCTTTCAAAATGCATTGAAACTGTGCCAAGAATTTCTAATATACGATCTAAACAACATGGCAATGAATAGGCATTATATTATTATACACAGACCCCAGTTGCTTGCCAGAAATGATATCTCCAGACAAAACAAAATACTTAAATTAAAAACAGGGAGTATGCCGCAGCGAGCTGGACCTCAGCTAAACAAATATATCACATCTATTGCTGGCCAGAACACTCTTACAATGTATAATGAAAAGAACATAGTTCATGCATAGATTAGCCCTACACAAGAAAATTAGATACAGAGTAAACAGCCATTAATACATGTTCAACTTAAATACTTATTTATACTTTTTTTTTTAATTGTTAAGGGAACTGTTTGCAACTAATTCTTATACTTCAATCTAGTTTTAGGGCATGCACTACTTTTTTCCACCACACCGCAACACACGGTAATGAGGTGACATGCGTTGCAGTGCAGTCGAGTGCATTTGGGTGCCATTTAGAAGAATGACAAGGCACCTGCCAGACTGTAATGCACGGTAGACGCGTTGTGTGGGACCATACATGAATCGCATGGAACCATACAATTAACGCAGGGTCTTGGTGCCTTGAATCCTAACATGCAGCAATGATTAACCGCACAATACTTCAAATGTGTATGATTAATCGGCACTATACTGTATGCTACCTAGGTAGCTTTTCCCATAAGAAGCCAAGTGTTCTATCTGCATAGCAATCAATTGATATTGTTAGTAGTTAATCACTAACAATTTTCAAAGCATAAGGCCATAAAGCGTGCACATCTGTGCAGAGCCCTGCACCCAGAAGTGACAGCTGGCCTGAACTGCAATTGCACATTCCTGCAGGTATGGATGACTACCTCTAGCAGCCACATGCATGACTTTCAGAGGCAGATGCATGATGGGATTTGTAGTTGCAGCACAGCTGGAGGGCTGACGTTTGGCTACACTGCACTAGGGAAACCCTCATTCTATGCTGGCATAGAAACTGTCTTTCATTAAGTCTAAGTTTGGAGTATGTCACTTTTGTCACATGGGCAGTTATTGGGTAAAAAAAGACAAAAAAGTACTGAATTTTAGAATACAGAAAAATCTTACCTGAGTCTGCATCATGGCTCGTTCAACACGTCGCGTGCTTCCTCTCTCCAATTTTGCCCTCAAAATTAATGCAGTAGTCTGCAGGGCCCAGAATCTGGGCTGTGAAAGCAAACACTGGAAAATAAAAAATGAATTAATATTTCCATCACTTTAATAAAAATGTTGCCATTTATATTATTTTTAAAAATGAACGTTGGTAGAGGGAGGCTCTATTTCTGTAGAAAACACAAAACCACCAAGGCTTTATCTAGTGCAGATAAAAGTTTTATTGGAATCAAGTACAAAACAATCAATACTCAAAAACGCAAGCATGTAACAGGACCTTCTTAGAATCAAGACTGCAAAAACAACTGCTGCATCAAGAAGAGGGACATATCTCATGCAGGGATAACAACCGGCGCTGTGCTCGTGTCACACACCCCTGCTACTGAGTGCTGACATGTTTCCGGGGACATGCCCCCTTCCTCAGGACTCTTAATTGTTTTGTACTTGATTCCAATAAAAGTTTTATCTGAACTAGGAAGGCGCGTTGTTGATTTTGTGTTTTCTACAGATGATTCTAGTCTCCCTGTTTAAGCTGGGCTGCCTCCATAAGTTGCTTGATATGAAAACTTTTTTGGCTTCAAGATGGGTTTTCTGGAGCTGGTGTGAAATTGTGCTAATGGAGGCTACATTTCTCCCTGATTGCTCCTTTTCTGCAGGAAGAGCCAGTTTATCCATTGATGGGTGTTATGTGCTCATGAGAAGCTCATTTAATCAGGTACCATTATGCCACTGCAGTGGCTTGCCTTTACTGAGAAAATAAATTCCTGCATATGGCTACCCCAAAAGACAGTAAAAGTAAGAATGCTACCATCACAACATTTTCATTTCAAAATGTAAACTTGATTTTATACCGTTTTCCTTTTTTCCTATTAAACTTCTATTATTCTTCACACAAGAAGGTTTACGTTTCCTTTAAGGAGAAACTGGGAGAACAAATAATTCTGGCACAGCATTGTATTTAAATTCTTTCTTATCAGAAACTAAAAGAGTATTATATTTCCAATGGAGGCAGGTGGAGGAGTTGTTCATGCATCTGCAGAATTCATCCACAGCCCAGCATGTTTCAAAAAGAAAAGTTGACACAATTTATATAAATCATTTTAGGCTGAGAAAAGGGAGTCTTGAGGTAAAAGCAGACATATTACATTAGAGATAATGAAGGAAGCAGGGACTAGTTGCACAGAAAAAGAAAAACCAATTACAGAAAACTTTTGCAGCAAGCTTTTGCTCTCTATCAATTACATTAGCTTGGAATGGTAATAAGTTGTGGTTCTAAATAGCTGGATAGCCACAAGTCTTGTCATCAGTATAACATGCCTGTAATTATATACAGCACATTAAGCCTTTAATATAACAAGACACACAATGGAAACAAGAACATGTAAAAAAAATTGCAGCTGAAGAAGATTTATGTATATAAATAATCTGATTTCATATAGAAGATCTAAGAGTGTGGCAGACTGGTTTCTATCAGCCAAACAGCTGAGGTAATACAAGGAGATATATATACACAGTGCGTTTGTAAAGTGAGATCATCCACTAGAAATATTATCAGCAACGACAGTTTCCTTCAAACCTGCAAGATGTCAGAATTTTAGGGCAAATAAAGTGCAACTGATTCAAAATTGTCAGTAATAACGTGGTTAAATACATTGAAAAATGTCTATAGGTCCAACCTCTCAAGTCCTGTACTTTTGACCCAGATGGAGGCAAAAGAAACTCCAAAAACAACTGCATTCCTCCTTCACAGTGTATTTCCTGAACTCGCAAGGGTAGTCTCATCCATTCTTTGGATAAAAACAGTGCCATATTATCCTCGGTAGATATAACTGCAGATGCTATTATTTTCATTATAAACCTTTTTAAACTCCATAACCAATTTTTCTGCACAACCTTGTGCAGCAGGAAACCAGATTGTTTCTGGACCTAAAATGCATCCCAATATTTCCCTATGCTCTTCTTGGCCTCAGTTCACACCATCGCAGTCAGTTCCAGACCAGACCAGAAAAATACTGAGAGTGTCACTGAATTCTTTGTAGAACTTGTGGAAGCCTGCCCAGAGCTGTATGATGCGAGGCATGGGCAATATAAGAACAATATTAAGAAGATGGGCAAGTGGAGAGGCATTGCTGTCCAGGTTGTCCCTGGCTATGATCATTTCAGCAGCTCTGAAAAGAACAATTGTGGTAAGTTCATGTCTCTTATGTGCAAGCATTGTGCTGCTCTTTTCCTGGCTATCTGTAGGTCTTGCAGAGGTCCCCCCCAGCAAGACATAAAATTGAACGCGTCAAAAACGCGTCACAAACGCAACACAGTGCTTTTCAGATCTGGTCCAGAAAATGGTGTGAACCTGCCCTTACACCTTCTACTTCATACTCCTGATTCTCGGTGTACACCAGGGACAATGCCAGGCCAATTTGAAAATGTTTCCGTTATTATTATTGGTTATAATTAGGTACAGTGTTAAAGTTTCAAAGTAAAATCTAAATTTCCCCCCTAGATTTGATCACATATCTTTTATGTGCCTAATATAATTCTAGGATTCCCCTCCATGAGGCTCCCCAACATAGTGATGGGCCAGTAGGAATGTATGTACACAATTTGGTAGGGGGTAGTGGGAAAGACTTGGAGACAGCTAAATCATATACCAGTACCTCTACTTCTTCACACCTTATATATATTGCCAAGTGAGATATTTCTTACTGGGAGGTGTACTTCAACACGGGGTGTTTATCTTTAGTTTTCAGAGCATACTGGGCTTTCTAGTAAGAACACCCAATAGTGCCTATACACCTTTTGAGTATTTAAGCCTAAATGTACACAACTCTGTATGAGATCTGAGAGGAGGTAGTGTACATCCCTCTTATGTCTCATGCAGTTGATTATGAATAGAGCTAAACAGCAGATCAAATTACAACTTAATGACAGAAAAATAGTAAAACTATGTATTGGAGCGCAGATTTAACCACATCAACTACTGGCTGCAAATGATAAAAATAAAATACTCATATGTAGTATTTCATATTAAACTAACTAAACAGAAAGATGATTTTTACATTTTTAGTCTTGAATATATTAAGAAAATACAGACAAACACACTACAAGTTTACTTTAAAAACTGTAAAACTGACAGCTTTGTAAACTCATGGGAACCTAGGGAGGATTTTATCACAGAGCACCCTCTGCACCCCTATGTCATCTCCAAGGGTCTATGACAAGCAATTATGACCACCGGTACAAAAGATTCTCAATATACAATCCCAGAGAATTTTAATAAAATATTATAGAAAGCTATTGGTTTTAAGTGGAATTACCCTTAAAATAGAAAAGAATAATGCACTATTAGCTTTTCAACCCCTACTCTTGACAAATTACTACAGTGAAGTACACCATATCCAAGCCAAGCAATAAGTGCAATATTATTTCTTTTGACATGCATGTAGATTTAGCTTAGAGCATACACCAACTCATCCAGATGGAATACATATTCACACGTCTATTATAAAAGAAACAGTTACAATTTTTATATTTTTCTTAGGGAGAAAGAAAAAATGCCATCACACTTGGGTGGGCTGTTTTAGCATGCTGACTACAATTAACATAAGCAACAACTATACCATTCTCAATGCGTTCCATCTAACCACAGTTCTTAGACACAATTGCATCCCTGCTTACTCAAGCACATCGTTCACTGTCAAAATCACCCAGGCTACAAAGCAAATGCAGATTCACACAAACTCCAGTTCAGAACATCATGTCATGCTTGGTTTGACTGGTGCTTGAGTGTTAAAACCATTTATCTTTAATGAATGTTGATTATGTAAATGCTGTTGATTATGTGAGGCTCTGAAGAATGAGCATGAGCTAGGTTAAACAATGATTTACAAGCTCAAGACATAATGCTTAATGGTAAAAGGGTAACACTAAACCTGACATAGAAAATGGTTAATTTTTTTCCTTTTAGTAAACATTATGCAAATACACAAAAAAATCGTTGAGTTCATCCTATGTTTTTTGAGGTTCTGTAAAGGGCCATTTCATGGCTCAAACAATGTGAAGCTGTAAGGCTTGGCTGAGGCCTTTTTGAATAAATAGTGAATGCATGACAACATTTTCATTAGGAAGCTTTCATAGTATGTTTAAATGAGAAGTAGAGTATTGTACCATGTTAGCCAATGGTTAGTACTGAAAGTATGGAGTTTGAGAGCTTTATTGGCCAACTTAAGTTATTAAAGATGCAAGCTTTCAAGATCCCTTCGTCAGGCTTAAGATGTTTGCATCCTTAATAACTAAAAGTGACGTTAAACTCATTAGCTAAGTCTTAAAAATGCATTCAAGCACCCTAACGATTAACAAACATCTAGCTTATGTTTGCATCAGTCAGCTGTAGCTCCTTGAACCATCTCTGAATTAGTGCTGACATTGTCCTTCCTTCTGGAGGGTGGCTGCTTTTGTTCCCCATGTTTCCTGTGTGTGTTGTAAAGTAGCTGCCACTCCAAACTCACTCTGGTGATGGACTGCAATACAAATTAGTAAACTAAACCTGAAATGGAAGTCCATCATGGGAGCAAGCTTGGAGTGGTGGCAACTTTAAAACGCAAACAGGGACCATCGGCATCAGTTTGAAATGTTCCTCAGCATCCTCATGTCTATGCACAGTGTATAGACGTGAAGATTTACTGGACCTTAGACCACGCAGAGGAGGGTGAGAGACATTTCAGGAACCGGTCTAAGAAGAAGTTGGCTTAGAGCTTTGAGTGAGTAATTCTTTGTTTTTTTTTAACGTAGACACAAACGATTTCTGCTTTAAGTTAGCCAATAAATGGTATCCATTAAACTCCAAACCTTCTGCAATATGTTTAAATAAGAGTAATTAAAATACAATAATCAGTAATAAATATGCAACATGAATAGCTCTTATGTCTGACTGTTGTATTTGGGTACACTATTAAGGGAAAACAACTATGCTCAAATACAAGTTTGGAAGGCCTGTAATAAGGACCAAAAATAATAATTGTAAATGCTTACTGTTTCCTTATAGTATAAAAAAAATCCTCTAATCCATGTAA